ACAAAAGTATTAAATTCTGGTTTTGATGCATTCAAATTCAACTGATTTTTGGCAAAAAATTTAGTGAGTGCGAGCAAGGAACTTTGTAACTTATTCAACGCATCATTTGAAGTTAGGGATGATGCAAACTTCATAGTCGTCTGCATATTGCACCAAAGTTCATTCTTGAGATCGTTTTTGTATATCATTGATATATAATTTGAAGATTAATGGACCTAGTACTATGCCTTGTAGCACACTAACTTCAATCCTGTCAGAAAAACTCCATTCACATTTACCCTCTGTATGCGTTCGTTGAGGAAATCTTTATTAAATGCATTTGCTTCAATTGAAAATCCGATACACTGTGTTTTTATCTCTGAAATATGTGAAATAGAGTCAAAAGCCTTTGAAAGATCCAATTAAGCTGCATGAACAATTTTTTTAGAATGAATTATTTTCTGATACTTTTTGTATACGATAATCAATGCATCTTGCGTTGAAGTTTTCGTGAAAACAAAACTGTAATGGAGTAATTATTGGATGTTTGTTCGAATGTTCTGTTATTTGAGCATGAAGAAGCTTTGCAAAGATTTTGGAAAATGCACATGTTATTGAAATAGGGTGATAATTTTTTGGATCCAACGGGTCATCTTTTTCAAAAAGGGTGGGACATTTGCTTTCTTTAGCTCAGATGGAAAAAAGTTCTCATCTATGCAGGCATTAATAACAAGTAAGTTGGGTCACAATTAATGATTTTATGACATTTGATTCTCAAAGTACATCATAGCATTGCTTCACTGTTATGTGCTGAAAACGTAAGGGTGGAAATTCAGACTTAACTGGAAAATAAGGTTAACTTTACAGAGCCAAAAACTCGCCTAAGTTTGAAATTACATACTTGAAATGATCTGCAATTTTTATATCCTGAGCTATCGTTTGATTGAACGAATACGTATCGCTATAATTCTGCTGCTGCTTGAACAACTCAAACCTGGTTGATAAATTTCCTTTTTTGCCGAATTGTGTTTAGAAGTGAGTAGACACTTAGCGAATGTTTTTCCTGTTCATCTTTAATTAAGCTGGCTAATTGTTCACGAGAAACACGATAGTTTTGCCAATTATCTACGGTGTTTTGATTTTGATAAGCTAAAAAGGATTTTTATTTACTTTCAGCTTTTCTTTGCACTCTGAACCAAACCATTCAGTTTTCAGCACATTTTTATTTTTGAAATTGCGAATTATTTTTTTCGATCGGCGCGTGTTGGCGAAGAGCATTAGAAATTAAATTTATTATCAATGAAAACATATTTTGTGCGTCTGCCCATTGGTGTAACTGAAACTAAGGAAGAGCGAAAAGAGTTTTACAGAACTCTGATTTACGGTCATCATCTTATTTGAAAGCATAAAAATGGCAAAATTTTTCCACATTCAATATTTGTCACAAGTGAAGCAAAATTGTCCGTTTTATAAGGTGTATCAGAACAAAATTCGTTTCCGTAGGTTTCATAATGACTAATGAGGTCATCGATATGAGTCTTTGCCGAAGCACTGACTCGCGTCTCATCGTTGGGACAGAAAACTTTCAACCCATAAGGAGTAATGATAGATTCCATATTGTCCTTATCTGATTTGTTCAAGTAATTTTTGTTATAATCAGCTATAAGTGTTATCTTGTTAGAAACAGTAAATGTGTTGTCAATGTTGATTGTTAATTTTTCTAGAAAATCATTGAAGATTGTTTTGTTTGGATTATAACACAAATTAATTAACATTTTTTCTTTACTCGCAATATAAAATTTCGTTTTGCGTTCAACCCATACTGACTTATTCTTTTCTTCATCGAACAAGTTTAAGTTTTCTCGTAGTTTCGGAGCCAATTTTCTAGGTATAATTAACAAAACACCGCCACCTTTTAGTTTTATTGAAGATTGTCTATCAAATCTGAACATGTGTTTTTTGGTTCTAAATCTTCAAATTATCTTTTTTTGTCGACCATGTGTTCGAAATTCCTAAAACAGTTTTTTTCACCCATTTCCTGAACACTTTTTTTAACCTGCATGCGTTTTCTCATAACACTTTGAAAATTCAAATGAACAAATTTCCGATTTTTTGCATTCTTGGAACAAATTTTGTAGACAGGTTCCATTGGTTCATATGGGCCTGGATTAGTTTCAACATCCCCACTTTCCCACGCGCCGCAAAAAAGAACCAGAATTTAATATTACGATAAAAGATTAAAGTTTCTTCGCCAAATTCTAAATCAGGAAAAAAATACAAAATTATTATTTTCTGAGCAACCTTGCACCGTTTTGAAAAAATCAAAGCATTTTGTTCAACACCTGTTCAACACCTGTATCAGAAGGATGCAACCCATCTGAACGAATAGCATCATTATTCTGATTAAAAGCCTTGTTAAGTCTAAAGTATCTAACTTTACATCGCCCAAATCCTTCGTATTTTTAACTAAGTGTAAAAACTGCTTGTTAAATTTATGTACATTTGCAATAAAATCTTTTCTTAAAGCCCCTAGAGGAGATACTGTACAGGTTGAGATTGTTTGGGGGGGGGGGTGGTAAACTTGTTATTTGAAAAATAAATTAATTTCTCTAAATTACTCACAGGTTCTTTTGCATCGAATTCGTTTGAAAGACAGTCATTTTTTCCAATCGAAGTAGTTATGCGGTAAGAATTGCGAGGTTTACTGTTTATCGCCCGTTCCACCAGTCCCGAAATTTTGTGGCCCCCAAATCCTCTCGCTAATTCCTTATATGATATTTGTTCTGTTCACTTATGAGTCCCCCAGCATTAATCCGCAGTAGTTGGTAACAAAAGGTGTTTTGTTTGTTCGACTTTTTGTGATCTTGGTCAATTATTTCTTAGTTGCGTTAATTGGTTTCGTCTGGTGTGTAAAATTGTTATTTTAGTGTATTTGTTGGAGTTTTCATTCTTCCATTCTATTGTTTTCGAATTTGTGTTCTGAATTTTTCGGTTTTCCTTTTTTTTTTCAAAATTTTACAGATCGAAAATATTTTTACCTTTTTTTTTCTTTGTTGACGTCGATAGGTTTTCGATAATTTTTTTGAAATAAAATAATATCTTCCATGGCGTTTATAGAAGTCTCATATTTCAATTCTTCGTTTAAGTTTCGAAGTCAAACATGCTGGCGATTAAAAGAATAAACTAAAAATAAAGCATTAAAATAACCGACTGTCACTAGAAAATAAAATTGGTTGTGTGAAAACAAGACAAACCAAATTGTAAGAAATTAAAATTTGGTTTGTCTTGTTTGTTTATTATGTCATAAGCAAAATTATTCTAATTTTCTTATTGTATCTTCGACTTGATTGAAATCTGAAGAAATTGTTGCCTTCGCACGGAAAGTACACACTGGCAGAAGTAAAGCTAAATCCTACAACGATTTGCTAGCGTCAAAAGTGCTTTTCACCGTCTATACCATAGCCAATTCAACATGGTCTTCGCAACATCGGGTCGACAAAACTCGTTACTGTCCTAAGGCTCTCAGCCGAGCCGCTCAAGTTAACTTAGTTGCATTAAAATTAGTGAGCTCATGGCTAGGTTTCAGAATCCCCAGACCACAAGGTCATTACTTAAATAGGGCTAGTGCACTATTATTATCATATTGCTATGTTACTTTTGTTTTTGTACAGTAGAGAAAATCACTCAGCCATCGCAGATTGATCGACCCTTTCCTTATTTTCTAGCTTCTCATATCCTGAAAATGAACAAATTGAATTCAGGTCATTCCAGGAAGCTATAAATTAAAACAATGCAGTTCTCCTGTTTAACGAGAGGCCCTTCCGAGTTGTTGGTCTTCGTTGAAGAAGCTCCTTCTTCACCAACAGGGAGGGTTGTAATTCCGATCCCAGGCTTTTTTGATTGGTAAATAGCGTTTAGTATCGATTGTAATGGTACAATTGTTACTTTTCGGAATACTTCTATTTCTCCGTAATCTTTTAAATGGTGTCACGTCATTTCTGTCTGCTTGATACAATATCTGGTCTTCTTCTGAAAAGTTAAAATCGTCCTTCTGATTTTCGCGGTTTCAATTGGCGCGAAAATCAAATTATCAAGTGTCATGCTCACCCAAATCGAAAATAACTACATTTTTTTGGTTCAAATAGTAAATAACGTCGTTAATCGGCTCATTTTATGTATCGTACACTCTTGTTCTCTCGATTAAAAATTGACCGCGTTCTGGTCGAATGGCATAAAGGGCATTTAGTTGAATTTATATGAATTGATACCTCAAAGGCTGCCTTATTCGGCGATGAGCTAAATGAAAAGCACGATATGGAGTGGTTGGCCCTTTTATTTCTCGATTTAATATTAGATAGTTGCGAACATGTGCATGATCATATGCCCTCTCGGTAACACAAAAGTTTTATCGGTGGTTCCAGGAGCCAATGTGGATTCTGATCAATCCCTAAACCGATGAACATCAATCCAAATTAAGGTAGATACGATTATCTTCAAGTCAAAGTGGTCTTCGATGAATTTGCACTTGTTGCATCTGCGTTGTGAGGCGCAATTCTTGACCTCTTGTTTTCTGAGGCAGTTCTAGCGAAGCTTGCTGTCTAAAGTGACTATTACACGCTGCATGAAACCCAACATCAGTTGCACTCTACGCAACTTACATCCACAGATGAATAAATAGAACCACCAAAACTCGACAGGATTCTAAATTACTACCAAAAGCAGGAACGATGCGACTGCATACAGACTCCAGCTACTTACACTTTGCATATTGCATTAAATAAGACTTGAGAAAATCCCCACCAGCCACTTTTTTTAACTTAATTTACTGATTTGCAAATTGAGGTTGGCTACTACAATCGACGGCACGTGATAATAGGCAAATTAACAACCTTCACAATCAATCATTGAAAAGAATAAAAACTTATAAGGTCTTATTTTTTGCACCAACCAGCCACTGATTATGATTAAATATTTTTTGTATTGTAATTTGTATCTTTTTTGTTATTACTCAAATATTTTAGACGTATCTTGCTCATGTGCGGTTGGCTTTAAAACAATCGCAGATGTTGGATCTGGTCCCTATTCGACTAGAGATGGAGTTCAAGTGTTGGCGTGTCAGGCATGCCCTGCTGGAATGGTAGGAATTGTTGTTGATATCTAAAATTTGCTCTAAAAAATTCCTATACCAAGCTGTTGACAAATAAATTGATACTTTTGATGCTTCGCTAAATCTACCCGCTGTTTTTCAGGCTGTTTCTCCCGATGGATGGGATTGTGTAACTTGCGGAGATGGAACAAGTCGCGAACCTACAACTGGTAAGTGTGTGCCATGTGCCGATGAGCGTGTATTGAACTCCCGCGACGAATTCGGAGGGCTGGTCGACCCTTCCTCGTGCCAAGAGTGCGCTGATAATTTTGGACCAACAGAAGAAGGAAATGTTCAAGTAATTTTTGTTATAATCAGCTATAAGTGTTATCTTGTTAGAAACAGTAAATGTGTTGTCAATGTTGATTGTTAATTTTTCTAGAAAATCAATGAAGATTGTTTTGTTTGGATTATAACACAAATTAATTAACATTTGTTCTTTACTCGCAATATAAAATTTCGTTTTGCGTTCAACCCATACTGACTTATTCTTTTCTTCATCGAACAAGTTTAAGTTTTCTCGTAGTTTCGGAGCCAATTTTCTAGGTATAATTAACAAAACACCGCCACCTTTTAGTTTTATTGAAGATTGTCTATCAAATCTGAACATGTGTTTTTTGGTTCTAAATCTTCAAATTATCTTTTTTGTCGACCATGTGTTCGAAATTCCTAAAACAGTTTTTTTCACCCATTTCCTGAACACTTTTTTTAACCTGCATGCGTTTTCTCATAACACTTTGAAAATTCAAATGAACAAATTTCCGATTTTTTGCATTCTTGGAACAAATTTTGTAGACAGGTTCCATTGGTTCATATGGGCCTGGATTAGTTTCAATATCCCCACTTTCCCACGCGCCGCAAAAAAGAACCAGAATTTAATATTACGATAAAAGATTAAAGTTTCTTCGCCAAATTCTAAATCAGGAAAAAAATACAAAATTATTATTTTCTGAGCAACCTTGCACCGTTTTGAAAAAATCAAAGCATTTTGTTCAACACCTGTTCAACACCTGTATCAGAAGGATGCAACCCATCTGAACTAATAGCATCATTATTCTGATTAAAAGCCTTGTTAAGTCTAAAGTATCTAACTTTACATCGCCCAAATCCTTCGTATTTTTAACTAAGTGTAAAAACTGCTTGTTAAATTTATGTACATTTGCAATAAAATCTTTTCTTAAAGCCCGTAGAGGAGATACTGTACAGGTTGAGATTGTTTGGGGGGGTGGTAAACTTGTTATTTGAAAAATAAATTAATTTCTCTAAATTACTCACAGGTTCTTTTGCATCGAATTCGTTTGAAAGACAGTCATTTTTTCCAATCGAAGTAGTTATGCGGTAAGAATTGCGAGGTTTACTGTTTATCGCCCGTTCCACCAGTCCCGAAATTTTGTGGCCCCCAAATCCTCTCGCTAATTCCTCATATGATATTTGTTCTGTTCACTTATGAGTCCCCCAGCATTAATCCGCAGTAGTTGGTAACAAAAGGTGTTTTGTTTGGTCGACTTTTTGTGATCTTGGTCAATTATTTCTTAGTTGCGTTCATTGGTTTCGTCTGGTGTGTAAAATTGTTATTTTAGTGTATTTGTTGGAGTTTTCATTCTTCCATTCTATTGTTTTCGAATTTGTGTTCTGAATTTTTCGGTTTTCCTTTTTTTTTCAAAATTTTACAGATCGAAAATATTTTTACCTTTTTTTTTCTTTGTTGACGTCGATAGGTTTTCGATAATTTTTTTGAAATAAAATAATATCTTCCATGGCGTTTTTAGAAGTCTCATATTTCAATTCTTCGTTTAAGTTTCGAAGTCAAACATGCTGGCGATTAAAAGAATAAACTAAAAATAAAGCATTAAAATAACCGACTGTCACTAGAAAATAAAATTGGTTGTGTGAAAACAAGACAAACCAAATTGTAAGAAATTAAAATTTGGTTTGTCTTGTTTGTTTATTATGTCATAAGCAAAATTATTCTAATTTTCTTATTGTATCTTCGACTTGATTGAAATCTGAAGAAATTGTTGCCTTCGCACGGAAAGTACACACTGGCAGAAGTAAAGCTAAATCCTACAACGATTTGCTAGCGTCAAAAGTGCTTTTCACCGTCTATACCATAGCCAATTCAACATGGTCTTCGCAACATCGGGTCGACAAAACTCGTTACTGTCCTAAGGCTCTCAGCCGAGCCGCTCAAGTTAACTTAGTTGCATTAAAATTAGTGAGCTCATGGCTAGGTTTCAGAATCCCCAGACCACAAGGTCATTACTTAAATAGGGCTAGTGCACTATTATTATCATATTGCTATGTTACTTTTGTTTTTGTACAGTAGAGAAAATCACTCAGCCATCGCAGATTGATCGACCCTTTCCTTATTTTCTAGCTTCTCATATCCTGAAAATGAACAAATTGAATTCAGGTCATTCCAGGAAGCTATAAATTAAAACAATGCAGTTCTCCTGTTTAACGAGAGGCCCTTCCGAGTTGTTGGTCTTCGTTGAAGAAGCTCCTTCTTCACCAACAGGGAGGGTTGTAATTCCGATCCCAGGCTTTTTTGATTGGTAAATAGCGTTTAGTATCGATTGTAATGGTACAATTGTTACTTTTCGGAATACTTCTATTTCTCCGTAATCTTTTAAATGGTGTCACGTCATTTCTGTCTGCTTGATACAATATCTGATCTTCTTCTGAAAAGTTAAAATCGTCCTTTAGATTTTCGCGGTTTCAATTGGCGCGAAAATCAAATTATCAAGTGTCATGCTCACCCAAATCGAAAATAACTACATTTTTTTGGTTCAAATAGTAAATAACGTCGTTAATCGGCTCATTTTATGTATCGTACACTCTTGTTCTCTCGATTAAAAATTGACCGCGTTCTGGTCGAATGGCATAAAGGGCATTTAGTTGAATTTATATGAATTGATACCTCAAAGGCTGCCTTATTCGGCGATGAGCTAAATGAAAAGCACGATATGGAGTGGTTGGCCCTTTTATTTCTCGATTTAATATTAAATAGTTGCGAACATGTGCATGATCATATGCCCTCTCGGTAACACAAAAGTTTTATCGGTGGTTCCAGGAGCCAATGTGGATTCTGATCAATCCCTAAACCGATGAACATCAATCCAAGTTAAGGTAGATACGATTATCTTCAAGTCAAAGTGGTCTTCGATGAATTTGCACTTGTTGCATCTGCGTTGTGAGGCGCAATTCTTGACCTCTTGTTTTCTGAGGCAGTTCTAGCGAAGCTTGCTGTCTAAAGTGACTATTACACGCTGCATGAAACCCAACATCAGTTGCACTCTACGCAACTTACATCCACAGATGAATAAATAGAACCACCAAAACTCGACAGGATTCTAAATTACTACCAAAAGCAGGAACGATGCGACTGCATACAGACTCCAGCTACTTACACTTTGCATATTGCATTAAATAAGACTTGAGAAAATCCCCACCAGCCACTTTTTTTAACTTAATTTACTGATTTGCAAATTGAGGTTGGCTACTACAATCGACGGCACGTGATAATAGGCAAATTAACAACCTTCACAATCAATCATTGAAAAGAATAAAAACTTATAAGGTCCTATTTTTTGCACCAACCAGCCACTGATTATGATCAAATATTTTTTGTATTGTAATTTGTATCTTTTTTGTTATTACTCAAATATTTTAGACGTATCTTGCTCATGTGCGGTTGGCTTTAAAACAATCGCAGATGTTGGATCTGGTCCCTATTCGACTAGAGATGGAGTTCAAGTGTTGGCGTGTCAGGCATGCCCTGCTGGAATGGTAGGAATTGTTGTTGATATCTAAAATTTGCTCTAAAAAATTCCTATACCAAGCTGTTGACAAATAAATTGATACTTTTGATGCTTCGCTAAATCTACCCGCTGTTTTTCAGGCTGTTTCTCCCGATGGATGGGATTGTGTAACTTGCGGAGATGGAACAAGTCGCGAACCTACAACTGGTAAGTGTGTGCCATGTGCCGATGAGCGTGTATTGAACTCCCGCGACGAATTCGGAGGGCTGGTCGACCCTTCCTCGTGCCAAGAGTGCGCTGATAATTTTGGACCAACAGAAGAAGGAAATGAGTAAGTATTAATTTGTCTCGTCAAGTCTAACAATAAAAATATGAAAATGCCAATTAATGGATATTTTATATCAAAATTCGACTCAGGTAGAATTTAATTTTCAATATCTACAACAGAAGTATTAGTAGTATGCATATAGTGCGTTAGGATCGGGGAGGGGGTTGTCATACATGGATGACCTTTAGGTATAAATCATAATGGTCACCATGTATTAAATGATCAGCAATGGTCACTATGTAATAATCCTAATTGTCACCATGTATAATTTTATACCTAATGGTCACTATGTAATAATCCTAATTGTCATCATGTATAATTTTATACCTAATAGTCCTCATGTAAAACTTCGGTATATTATTGAGTAATCCCACTGAACGTTGTGGAAACGGGAATGGAATTAAGTTTTGGTCGGTGCATGTTTTCCCTTCTAAAGTTTGGGGGTATTGGCTTGTATTCATGTAAACATAGATACATACAAACGTACTTACATATATACATACAAATTTAAAGTTACTTAGAGACATTCATACAACCCTACGTACAAAATTACATACATATATGCAAAAATACTTCCATACATACAATTATTCAAAATGAAGTCTTACATAAAGGTATGAATACAAACGTACATAGTCTTATACATAAGAAGAATGCAAATAAACTACCATACATACATGAATTTTACATACTTGCTTACATACTTTTAAACCTGCAATCGATTAAATGAACAGTTTTGCTGACACACATGCAAAGATTTTGACTTAATATTTCTGCTGACCTTTAAATTAGAACCACATTTAAACACACAAATCAGCTTACATTCACTTCACACTTTCAAGACAAATATATACACACATTCAGACAAAAGAGTCAGGCAATACAGACCGGCATTCATACGTCTTTACATACAATCATATAAACGTGTCTTTCATACTCATATTCGAAAATGCATAGGTTCTTGCCTACAAACAGACATGGATCGTACTTTACAAGCATGCAACGACTCATGTGTACACACTTTCCTTTTAAACAGACATAAAACTTCAATCATAAATTTGTACAATTTGCAAACAAGCTAATTTTTAAATGTTTTTAAATTGAAAAACATACATTGATACAAAATAATTGCTGGTCTTCATTCACTCAATCAAGCGGACATGCAGTCAAGAAATCTTCTTAGATAAAAACATACAAATATACATAACTTCTAAATACTAAAATGAATACACACAACTAGTATGTTTATACATGATTAATTACATTTATACATGCAAAAAGTTGTACACTTTTACATAGATACATAGTTTACATAAATAGACACACGAAAGTTCTGCTGACCTTTAAAATACAACCACATGTAAACACGCAAACCAACTTACATTCTCTTCACACTTTCAAGACAAATATATACAAACATTCAGACAAAAAGAATCACGCATTACAGACTGGCATTCATACGTCTTTACATACAATCAAATAAACGTGCCTTTCATACTCATATACGAATATGCATAAGTACTTGCCCAAAAACATACATTGATACAAAACATTTGCTTGTATTCATTCACTCAATCAAGCGGACATGCAGTCAAGAGTTCTTACTTACATAAAAGCATACAAATTTACATAACTTCTAAATAATCAAATGAATACACATAAAAAGTATAACATTTAATAGAATACAAATAGTAGAATACAGTATAATAAATAATAGAATACACACAAATATAACAAATAGTAGAATACACACAAAAGAATATAACATGATTAATTACCTTTATACATGCAAAACGTTGTACACTTTTACATAGATACATACAGTTTACATAAATACACACATACGCAAAGCATTTGTGCGTACATATATACAATGCACATAGTATCTTGTCAAACCTTCAAGAAAATCTAGAAACGTTAGTAAAAATCAAGTTGGGTTATAGTTATTCTTCTACTTACAATTGTTTTGGTTTACAAGCGCATAAGGAAAAAAATTGTACTCATACATACAAACACATCAACTTGCATACATACACGCATACACAAAAGATATTTACTTGCATTTGCTTATAAACACAAACATTCACACAAAAATTTTATCATTACGTTTTACGTATAAATGTATTCAAATACAAACAAACCTTCATACACAATTTGATTTTACAATGCAAACGTCGCAAGCAGAGATTTGCAAAGAAATGCCAGCTTTCAGCCAAGTCATCTATGCAATTTAGCAATTTTTTTCATCTTAAAAAAAATAAAAAATGGTGATAAACTATTTTTTAATATGTCTGTTGGTCTCCCAAACGATTTTACCAACGGTATCAAACTTCTATTCAAAATTGACCAGTTAGTCATGAAGCATTTTTAGTGGTCAGAAGAAAAAACCAAGGCTTACTAATTTGCATTGGACGGGAAAATTTGAAAACATTTTTTTTGACATATCGAAATTGCTCTCAAGTAATTATTTAGTTTTGTACAGAAAATTTAAGACAGTGGAGGTTTTGGTTTTAAACAAAATTTTTAGCCATTGTTTTAAGATTTGTTATCTTTTTTGAAAAATTTTGTTTTTTGATTCATTTGTTGGTTCTCTAGTTTGTTATATAATCAGTATACTATTAGGCTGCAGTTTTAACCGTAGACCAAGTTACATTGAGTAGAGTTGCACATTATGTTGTTTTCTTGCTAAACCATTAAAAGTTTTGTTGTTCAAAAAAATGTATTTAGCTCTGAGAAAGCTATTTAACACCGGTTCAACTGTTCTTTTTTCCATCTTTTCCCCCGTGTTTATGCAATATCGATCGTTTGAGCTACAGTATCTTAGAAAATAGATTTTAACAAAGATGAAACTAACGGTAAAAGGTATGTTTTAGAGAAAACAAAAATTGATCTAAGCTGATGTTCAACTCATTTTTTCAGTAATAAAGAAAACTTTCAAAAAATTTTAAATTTGTGCAAAATAAACAACCCAATCTTCTTTTGCGAATTTGAATTTTCTAGAACGAACGTTTTTTAGACATGATTCTAAATGAAACACAGTTTTTTTTTAATTTTAAAGAATTAAGAGCAAACAAAATTGTTCTTTTTGTTTTATATAATTTAGATTACAAAACAAACAGGTAAACATTAATAAATTCAACTTAACTAATTGAAAAAACCAGCAAAAAACACAGAACAGACTGAAAATTTTTCAATTGACGCCACGTATAACAGATTGATGCGTTCCGATCCTTTTTCTTTTTTTGCGAGCAACTGGCGGTTACATTTGGCTAATATGGGTTGTCTGCCGACTGCACCAGGAACTCTTTGTTAGACTGATTTCTGCAATGAGAGTAACAAGGTGAAGCTGGTGGCTCCATTTCCAGGCCAACTTGGGCCCCTCGACTTCCTGGGAAGATCCAATTTGACTCTACGAAAGAGGAATGCACTCATAAGGAGATGAGTAAATCTTGATCTTTGATTAGCTTAACTTTGGCTATTTGCGCTGAATCGATGATATAAACTACGATGATCAAAAATTCATCTTTTCTGATGGCCTTTTAAACCATATTTTTAAAAGATATAAATGGAATAAGATAACTTTAATGGAAAATATGTAATTTAGAGTGATCCAATTATCATTATTTGAATTTAATTATTGTTCAATAAGGAAAGAAAATCTCCGTGAGCAGTCTTGTCAAAAATAGTACGTACTTGAGCGGAATCAGTCAAAACTTACACATACAGTTTTTTAAAGTTTTGCGGTAACGGAGATCAAACATTGAATTGAAACGGGTAAAATTATGAATCAAATGATGAAAGCACGCGCCTTCAGAGGCATTGTTATTGCGCTAAAAACAGAACAAGTCTAAGCATGGATTGGAAATGAAATAGCTGATAAATGCTTTGTTTTGTATAATCAACACCACATCTTTTCTAACTTTTTGATTGTATCTTTATCTCCTCTTATTCTCTTCTTCAAATTGAACAGTTTTGGACAAGTAAAAAAACACAGTATCGGTAAATGTAATTGTTAATTTTTATGTAAATATTTTCAGTATAGTGTAACAATAGCTCAAAGTGAAGCCACAAATCAAACTCAATGTAGCTTTAATTCCAGATTAGTCAAGAACTTCTAGAACATTTTACTAGGTGTTGTATCTGTCTTATGTTCAACCAGAAACTATAAAGTAATATAATTATGTGTAAATTGTGTGCATTGCATGTTCGATATTTACATGGTTTACGGTATGCTTGTTTCGGAAATGTAATATCAGAAATGATGTACAAGCATGTTGTTCTAAAAAGTTTTCGAATCAATTTAGGATAATTAACTGTGATTGGAAATAAAATTCGATGTCAGAATCAATCCAATTTCTTCTTTTTATTTCTCTTCATTATTCTGGATTGCTTCACCAGATGCTAAGTGGGTACAGATTATCAATCACGTTCGGATACGTAAAATTAGTGCATGTAGTTAGGCATTGTAATCAATTTTTATTTGTAAATGTAAGCACGATTAATGTCTACTTTGTATGTTTGTGGTTATATACATTTATATATAATGATTCATATGTATAAATTCACATATGTGATCAAAATTATGCCATCAGAATGCCACTTCAAGTAGAAAAACAATTGATCTAAAATATTTTTTGGTGCTCTTGATTTCTGAGTAGTTCACCACATGCTAAAAGTTTACCAGATACTACATTAAAACGTAATTCTTTGCCTACATAGATATATAGTGTGTGATATGGTTTTTACAAAACTTATCATTCATTTGTTAACATAATTAACCTAATGGTGCAATTTTTGTTAGTAATAAAGCTAATAACTAAAATCATTTAAATTTTTGTTTCAGATTTTTAAATATTTCTCACTAGGTATTTCATATGTAGTGTGAAAAAACGAATGTTTAATTTTATTTGAAATATGCGGGTATGTAAGTAACTAAGTTTGTATGATTTTTCCATCTTAATTTCGGGCTGACGCCTGTATTGGTTTATTTATCTTTGTATAAA